ATAAATGGAGCTTCAATTATTATTTATTATGTTGGCGAGGAGCGTTATTGAAGGTTGATTTGACTCGAGTTCATCTTTATCTTAACGTAGCTTCACGCTGAAGTTAGGCTAATTTAGTAGCGTCTACTCATTTTAAACAAAAAAAGATCAGCAAAGTTAGTATCAGTCATATCGTAACCTTGGAACCGATGGTAGCCACTTGGTGTAATATAGTACGAGGCAATATGGCATTGCATTTATTTGTGCCAAACGTATCAAGGACGACCATGACTGTAACTTTTGATAATTTAATTTAATATTCTCCGTTGAGCACGCATGCTTTTGAACAGGAATTTATATATTTAATATAAGATATTATTTAATTTTTATTTTAATTATAAATATAAAATCCAATCTATTTTGTCTATCATATTTATCTTTTTTTTTTCAAAATAGTTCTTCTAGTAACAATAGTTTTAGCTAATAAACTTAATCATTAGGGATATTTTATAAAAGAAAACACATATTTATTACAAATAACTAACTTAACTTGCTTCATTAATTTACTCAAATTAGTCAACTAGTTCTTATATTTAGAATTGGAGATAGTATTACTTGTGATCTTCAATATAATAGGTAATTAAATAATTTGAATAGATTAAGAGAGTTTGTTGAGTTAATTATTAGTAATAATTAGGTATTATCTTTTTAAAATACCTTTACTAATTATATATTAGCTAAAACTATCATTTGATTAAATGTCTAACATGTGCAACTACTATAAGGATTATTTAAAAAGAGAGAGAGACAAATATAAGATAAAATAGATTATATTTTTATATTTAGAACCAAATTAAAAATCAAATTAATTTTTATATTAAATATCGTAGTACAAGTTGCACTGTCCATGACTTATGACAAATCCAACGTTGTATGAATTTAATAGTATTACTGTCTTCTTCAGTTGTAAATAAATAGTCATATAGATAATTTTTTGTGGTGCAGTCAAAATTCAAAAAGTAGATAACAAGTCATGTCTGTATCCATGTTCTAATGTTAGCAAATGCTCCTGCTTTGTGTTCAATGTTTATTTTGGTAAATCAACTAAATAAGTTAGTGTTTAATCAAAATTTGGGAATGATTTGCAAAATTTGATATTTACAGTTCAATAATAAAGGAATTGAAACAAGCTAACCTATGCTGCTTCATTTGGTAGTTGTCCTATGCCTTCGATCTTTTAATGTGATTTCGCAATTTTAAGCTTCCGTTTTGATATTACTTGTGTGGCTCGAACCTTCAATTTTTCCTATTTTATTTTTTCTCAACAAATAGGAACTTTATACCAGATTATGTTATCTATATATAAATACACTTCATATTGTATCTAATGAAAAAAAAATTACCTCATGTGTTTAATATAAAAGGCTAATCTGACATTTAATCTGATCTTAAACATAAAATTTTAATCCACTTTATTTCTCATATTTATTATTATTTTTAAAACAATTCTTGTAGTAATTGCATATGTCAAATGTTCTATCAAATTATAGTTTTATTTAATACATATGATTAGCAAGTGTATTCTAAAAAAGATAACACCTATTTATTACAAATAACTAATTTAACTAATTTTATTAATATTCTCAAATTAGTTATCCAATTTTTATATTAAGGACTGGATACAGTAATAGTTGTTAGAGATTTAAAAATATATGCCATTAAGAAGTTACAAACAATAAAACTCATCTCAAATTTATACTATGTCTATATTATGAGTTCCGTATCAAGGAACATGACAAGAGAAGTAAGATTTGTAAATTTAATTGACAAATTTAAGTGTTTCTTTTCAAAATTGTTTGATTTGATTTTATATAATGATCTAATGTATGTTATGAGCAGTTGTATTTTTAGAATACATATATAACATGTAATTTTATGGTTTGAATAAAAAAATTACGAATTCTAATAACTTATTATTTAAAAAATATAATATATGTGTAAAAAGCTTAAGTAAACCAAAACCAAAAGCCCATTAGCTATGATAGTAATCGGAATGGTAATAATACCAAGTGCCAAAAAACCTGGGAATTGATTTTGGTGGTTCTTCAGCCAAATCAATTCATCTAATTCTTTCAAACTATGAAGATTAAGTATTTTTTTTCTTCCAAATAAATTTTTAGTTTAATATAAGAATTAAAAAAAAAAAAGGACATTCTAGAGGCCGAACATGCATATAGTGAAAAAATTAAAAACCCAAAGGGCTGTCCCCAGTCCCCCTCGTTTTACTATGGGAACAAACATGGATGCTCATATAAATATACATATATTTTTTTCTCTTAATTAAATACTATAATTTTAGTATATTAGTACTGTTATGTAACTTTATTCTGTTAGTACAGTTAGCTCTTATGCAAAAACTAATTATACTAATAGAGCAAAATTAATGTTTAACCAGAAAAGATAAATACATAGGTACTAAATTAAAAATTTTAAAAAATATAAGCATCTGCAAAATAATTTTTCTAAAAAATTGTTATGATACATAATATACTTAGAGTTGAGATCAGATGATACGCAGTCCAGCTAAAAAAAGAGAGATGAGTTAAAAAAGAAAAGGTCTAAACGGGTACAGGGAATTAACCCCTTTTTTAAGATGTCACATAAGATTTAATTATTTGTTTTAAAAACGAAAAAAATGGGGATTCTAATCTTTTTAAGAAATAAGAATCCAGGCGAAAAAGTATGTATTTACTTTTTTGAAAGAATCACAAATAAAGACCCTCGAATTAGCAAAATCACTCTATGGTCACCTGAATATGCCAAATTACCATGAGGGACCCAGTCTCAAATTGTAATTATGAAATCATGGCCAAATTACCAAAATACCCCTCTTTATTATTTTTTTTTTAAAAAGAAAGCCACTGCCTCACCGGAATCCGGCCACCGGCGACCGCTTCCGGCCGGACACCGAGGTCCGGCCGCTGGAGCTCCGGCGCCGGCGGCCACTTCCGACAGCCTTCCTTTGTTTTTTTTTTTGCAACTTTTTTTTTTAAAATAGTGGGGGAAGTGAGGTTGGGGGGATTTGATCCCCCAACCTAATGCTTCCCAAAATAAAGAATGACCATTGAGCCAACAAATTTTTGTTAACATTATGATGCAAAAAAAAATATAAGTTAACTCATTTACTCTTGTTTTAGGTGATGACAACAATACATTTAAAAATAACAAGTTCTGATTATAAAATAACAAGTTTGGGATTAAATTTTAATAATACGTTTTTTTATAACAAAACACTTTGTTTCAAGTGATAACAACAATACATTTAAAAATAACAAGTTCTGATTATAAAATAACAAGTTTGGAATTAAAATTTAACAACACGTTTTTTTTTATAACAACACACTTTGTTTCAAGTGATAACAACAATACATTTAAAAATAACAAGTTCTGATTATAAGATAATAAGTCTGAGATTAAAATTTAACAATATGTTTTTTTATAATATAAAATTTATACTATGATTAATAGATTAAAAATGCCTTATTATAAATACTTTATAATTTATAAGAAGTAGTTTGATTTATAATGAGTTGTATAGATATACAGATTAAAAAGTATTTTTTAGAGAAATAAATATATTTAAAATATTTTTTATAAGTTATAAATAATTTATTTTTTAAAAGTATAAAATAATTAATTGTTATAAAAAAACATGTTGTTAAATTTTAATCCCAGACTTATTATCTTACAATCAGAACTTGTTATTTTTAAATGTATTGTTGTTATCACTTGAAACAAAGTGTTTTGTTATAAAAAAACGTGTTGTTAAATTTTAATCCCAAACTTGTTATTTTATAATCAGAACTTGTTATTTTTAAATGTATTGTTGTTATCACTTGAAACAAAGTGTTTTGTTATAAAAAAACGTGTTGTTAAATTTTAATCCCAAACTTGTTATTTTATAATCAGAACTTGTTATTTTTAAATGTATTGTGGTTATCACTTGAAACAAAGTGTTTTGTTATAAAAAAACGTGTTGTTAAAATTTAATCCCAAACTTGTTATTTTATAATCAGAACTTGTTATTTTTAAATGTATTGTTGTCATCACCTGGAACAAGAGTAAATGAGTTAACTTATATATTTTTTTGCATCATAATGTTAACAAAAATTTGTTGGCTCAATGGTCATTCCTTATTTTGGGAAGCATTAGGTTGGGGGATCAAATCCCCCCAACCTCACTTCCCTCACTATTTAAAAAAAAACAGTTACAAAAAAAAAACAAAGGAAGGCCGCCGGAAGTGGCCGCCGGGGTCCGGCCGCCGACAGTGGCCGGAAGCGGCTGCTGGAGCTCCGGTGCCGGTGGCCGGATTCCGGTGAGGCAGTGGCTTTCTTTAAAAAAAAAAAATTAAAGAGGGGTATTTTAGTAATTTGGCCATGATTTCATAATTACAATTTGAGACCGGATCTCTCATAGTAATTTGGCATATTCAGGTGACCATAGAGTGATTTTGCTAATTCAAGAGTCTTTATTTGTGATTTCTCCTATTTTGGGGGGGGGGTGATGATGTTAATAATTAGAAAAGCAGAAAGACGCCTGTGCGGTGTACGAAATTCCTGGATACGAGGGGCATCTTCCTCTCCATATTCCAAACCCATCCCCTCGCCTCCCAACTACAAGAAAGGACCAAATAATGATTTCAACTAGCGTAAATTAAATTTTATATTACGGCCAATACTATTATTTATAAATTAAAAAAATTTAATCATCTACAAGTGTGACATTTGGAAAAAATTGTGACACTTTGCCCAGAGAAGGGCAAAGATCTTTTCAAAAATCATTTAGGATTTTTATTTAATTCATTTCATTACATGTCTTTTCTTTTTTTGCTGATAAATTTATCTGATTACTGTTGTCCTCTGGTAGGTACTGTAGCATGCTACGCTCCCCAAGTAATGTCCTCCACTTCATATCCTACGCGCATCTACCGGCTTCCATCCAAACCACCTCCCTTTTAAATCCAATCCCCCACCCGTTTCCTCCATAACTGCCCTACCTTTTCATCCTGATCTCCTCCTCGGGGAAATGCACATTCCGGCCAGTTATCCTCCTCTCACCCATTAGCCTTCGTCCACTGTCCCCTGAAAGTCCTGAGCTCAAAGCCATCTTCTTCTGCTCTCGCTTACTCTACAAGTTATTCCATGCTTCTTCCATGCCTGCGGGAAAGTACAGATTTCTCGTTCCTGCCCAAGTCTCCGTGAAGTTTTCCTTCCCGCTTGGGTGATGAGTTGCGATTTCGGACGGGGGAAATTTCGCTTGATTCCTTGATTTTGTTTATGTATTTTCTGCTGCTCACGGGAATGGTAGATGGTGACTGTAGTTTTCTTGTTTTAGTAGACGCCTCGAGTTTTCTGGAAAAGAAAAGAATTTTGCCAACTCGATTTACAGTATGTGAATTTGGGTTTCACTTGTAATTGCGACGCACACTTTTTTTCCCCTGCAAATTCAGATTCATTCTGAAAATGGAGTAAAACTGCACAAATTTTGCACTTCTCTCAGCCATGCCTCCGACTAAGATCCAACCCATTGGTATAGATTCCCGAAAGCTCGGGGAAGCGGCGGTTAGAAACGATTCGGCGAAGCCAGTGTTGAGGTCGCGGCTAAGAAGGCTCTTCGTCTTTGATCGGCAGTCTCCGAGCGTGATCAGGAATTCCTCCCCGGAGAAACTCAACGTTCCCAGTGAACACCTGTCCAACAGAGATGGAGTATCGGAGTTCGAGCCGAGTTCGCTTTGCTTGGCGAAAATGGTGCAGAATTTCATAGAGGAGACAAACGAGAAGCAACCACCGGCGGCTAAATGCGGCCGTAATCGCTGCAATTGCTTCAACGGCAACAACAACGACAGCTCGGACGACGAGCTCGATGTCTTTGGCGGTTTCAATGAATCAATCACCTCTGCTTCGTTCAGCGATGCCAGCGACGCGCTCAAGGTAAATGCTGCTAACAAATCATACAGTCTCTTTCTTGCGGTTTCTCTGCGAAGCATGGCCAAATTTCCTCGAGCTTCAAAAAACTAGTTGTATATAATTTGCAGAGTCTGATTCCTTGCGCAAGTGTTGCTGAGAGGAATCTGTTAGCTGACGCTGCGAAGATAGTTGAGAACAACAACAAAGTCTTCAGAACAAAAGATGATTTGAGAAATATCGTCGCAGATGGGCTTTCATCTCTGGGATACGACTCTTCTGTCTGTATATCTAAGTGGGATAAAACCTCATCTTACCCAGCCGGTATTTTTTCTTTTTGAATCTCATTTCTCCAAAATTGAAGTAACAGAGGAATAAAATTGAAAGTGAATTTTCTGTTTGTCTCTCAGGGGAACATGAATTCATTGATGTGATTTTAGAAGAAGAGATATTGTTAGTCGATATCGATTTCCGATCAGAATTCGAAATTGCACGATCAACAGGGAGCTACAAGACTATCCTTCAATTGCTGCCGTACATTTTCGTGGGGAAATCGGAACGGCTTGATCAGATAGTGTCGATCGTGTCGGAGGCGGCCAAGCAGAGTCTAAAGAAGAAAGGAATGCACCTTCCGCCGTGGAGGAAGGCGGAGTATATGCGAGCCAAGTGGCTCTCTGCCTACACTCGGACAAAGCGAAACGGCCGCGTTTCGGATTCTGAGAATCTGGGGGTGAAGAATGATGACGTTGGGTGTTCCGCGACAGAGAGCGACCACGGTGAGTTAGAGCTGATTTTCGGGAACAAAGCAATACCGGCGAACAGGCCGGAGGCTGATTCTGGTGAAGAGAAGACAGAGGCAGTGGCACCGGCGCCGACGTGGAAACCACCGGCGATAAAACCGAAGAGCGTGGATAAGGGTGGAAAGGTTGTCACCGGATTAGCCGCTCTTCTCAAGGAGAAACTGTAGGAAAAATTTTGACAGTCATTCTCTTTTTCTATTTAATCCTTTATTTTTGAAAAAAAAATTGAGAGGGAATTTGAGGTGAATTCGGATAGGTTTATTTCCTTTTTAAAAAGTAAAAGATGAATATGATAACGGAATGAAATAAAAGTGAACAGAGAGTAGGAAAAATATGCATGTACCGTCTGTTTCAAAAGTTGAGTTTGATGTCCTTGATTGCGGGTTTGATTCGAGGCAGCGGACAGAAATTAAAAGGTAAAATATGGAGTAACGTTTAATTTTTAAATTATTGTTAATCATTGATTCAACTTTAACTTGTGACAAGTTGGGACCAAAAAACAAAAAGTTAATACAAACTTTGTCTTTAAATTTATCCTTATTTTAATTTTGATCTCTTAGATTTCTTTTTATTTAGAATATTAGTTTTTATAATTCAATAAAAACTTCGATCATTTTATTTATTGAAAGATCGAAACATATGATTTGAAATTTGAGGAATTAGAACCACCAAAATAAGGACAAATTTGAGGGATTAAAGATTATATTAACTCAAAAAAAAAAGAAAAATTACAAATAAAAACTCCCGAATATGTAAAATTATGATTTAGGATTCTAAATTTAAAAAATGACAAATAAGGACTCGGTCATATTTTTGCAAATATGAAATGTGGATAAAATGTCTGAAATGCCCCTCAGCCAAATGACAAGTTTACTTTTGCTTATGACAACTCTAGTAGACCAAATCACAACTTGCCTGAGGGTATACCAAATGACAAGTTGACTATGAGAAATGTTAAATTTATTTTAGCGAACAACAATTTCAATAGACCAAATCATAATTTGGCTAAAAGGTATTTCAAACATTTCAGCTACATTTCATGTTTGCAAAAATGGGATCGAGTTTTTATTTGCTATTTTCCAAATTTAGAGTTCCAAATCATAATTTTATATTTGGGGGTTTTTATTTGTAATTTTTCCAAAAAAAGCTTATTACAGTTTAGTTTTGGAAAAATCTATAAAAAAAAAAGACTGTTGAATTTTAAAATTTCAAATCAGTATTGGTTACTATATTCTTAAAGAAAATAATTACACTCAAAAAGTAAATATCAACACATTTTTTTTAGTAATTCCTGATTTGAAAATTTGAAATTCAAGTCCATTTTTTGGGATTTTCCTTTTAGTTTTTGTAGTTTATTATTTACTTGATGGATTATATGATTTTTAAGTCCTGTTTGGTATAAAACATTGAAAATGAAGGATAAGGATTAAGATTGTAATTGAAAAAAATTATTAAAAAAATCTTTTGTATGAATAATTGCTTGTTATATGGGATTAGGTAAATTCATTGAAGTAGGATTGGTGAATACCACTTCCTCTCGTGGTATTTTTCAATCTCACATACATGGGTTTGTCTAATCCTATGTAATAAGCAATTTTTCATGTTAAACACTATTTTCTCAATCTTAACCCTAATTTCCATCACTTATTTTTAATGCTTCGCATCAAATGGTATTACAGAAATTGAGTTGTGTCAAAACAAAATTTAAAAATCAAATTAATAATTTAAAAACATGTAAAAACCAAAAATTGTTTTTGCCCCTGAAAAAGGCACTAGCCTAAGAGCCAAATATTGTATTTTTCTCAAAGTTAAAACCAGACTAGATTAGACATGATGGTAAAGAAAACATAGATTAAACATTAAATTCGCTAGATTAGCCCAAGAGCAACAAAAATAAATGAATTTTCTGTGTTAACCCCTCAGAATGCTAATCTTGCAGGGGAGAATTTGGCCCGGTAAGCTTTGCATCTATGGCTGGCCCACTCCTCTTCTGCATGACTGACTCGGTTTGAGTATTTTTTTTCTTAGAGAAAGAGAAATAAATCAGTTTTTTTATAGCTTATGAAATGCGATTTTTTGTTGCATATGTATTGAAACATGATAAAAGTGGCTGTCACATGTATTTCCTGCCTCCACAAAATGTTGTTACAGACTTGCAATGTCAGCATTCAAAATCATATGTAGGATAATCTTGAAACATAATTGATGGTTTTCAACATTTTTTGGGAAAATTTGGTAAAAAATCTCAGTTTAAAAACTTAATTAGTTAAAAAGCCTTAAATTTGAGCACATGCAACTATGATCTATGAGTGTAACTTTTCTTTTACTATGTGCAAATGACTTCTATATTGATAATTATTACATATCACTGATAATATGTTACACACAACAGAAAAAAAAGTTTCACTCATACATCATAATCACGTTTGCTCAATTTTAGGTCTCTTAACCAATTAAATTTTTAAACAATGACTTTTAACCAAATTTTCCATATTTCTTTGAAGTTGAAAGTAACTTTATGCACAGGTCATCTCTGTCATGGGGAGCAAGACCCAATGGTGTGAGTTGGAGGAGAAAGATTATATTACAAGGCTTGTTTGGATCAACATTGCAAAAGTGTTTATAAGTACTTTCAGGCAAACCAAGACAAAAATCTTTTTACATATTTACCTCATATTTTATAAATCACATTTGAAAAGTTACTTATAAGCTATTCCAAATAAGTTTATAGTTTTTGAGGTTTTCAAGTTGGCGGACAAAGTAGTTTTGGGTTGAAAGAAAGACATGGGTCCCCAGGAGACTAAGCTTTGGGTCTCTATGAAGTTGTGTCCAGAGCCCATTTTCACTTTGCAATGCACTAAATAGCCGACCACTACTTCGTTGCCAATATTCTCACAAAATTCCCAATTCCAGATTTCCGTTTATTACAAGAGTACGCAAGAGCCAGATGGAAACCATCAAATCTAATAGCTCAGAAATTATATTTTACTCTATAGTTCAAAGGTTTTTTCCAACGCCGCCTGGAATTCACATTCGAATTTACATAACCTTTCAAAGGTCAATAAATAAAGTTTAATTACGACACGGCCACCAATTAAAATTAATAACTCAATTCAAAGTTCTCCACTTTACAATCCCACAATTAATCATTCCATAACTGTTCAGGTAGGGCGATAAATTTATCCACACTCTCCCAACTTCACCTCATTGGCAAATTAAAAAGCCACAGGATCAATTATCATCTACTTATACTTCCCAATATATATATATATATATATATATATATATAATTGGATAACATCAAATTTTAGGAGCCGATGGTTTCCACTTTAGGAACATGAACTGGAAACTCATGAATCTCATCGATCCAAGGATTCTTCTCCTTCGCAGGATTAACTGTCCTCAAGGCACGCCACACAGCACTGTTACACTTAAACCCAGACCCAAAAGCAATCTGCCATGTCCTATCACCCTTCTTGATCCTCCCTTTAGCTTCAGTATAGGCCAATTCGTACCACAATGAACTGCTCGAAGTGTTCCCAAATCTGTACAGTGTCATTCTCGATGGCTCCATGTGCCAATCACTGAGCTCTAAGTTCTTCTCCAACTCATCCAAAACCGCTCTTCCCCCAGCATGAATACAAAAGTGCTCAAAAGCAAGCTTGAAGTCTGGAATATAGGGCTTAACCTTCATCTTCAGAACTTTTCTAGCCACCAGCGTGAAGAAGAAGAGAAGCTGTTCCGACATGGGAAGAACCAGAGGGCCAAGGGTTGTGATGTTGGCTTTGAGGGCTTCTCCTGCAACAGCCATGAGGTCTTTGGAGAGAGAGACGCCAATGTTTTTGTTATCGTCTTCTTCTTGGAAGACGCAGCCGTATGATTTGTCCTCTGCGCCTTTGTGTGTTCGAACTGTGTGCAAAAGTTGGTACTTTGAACGCCGGCGATCACATGAACGGTTGGACAGTAGAATCGCTGCTCCGCCCACTCGAAAGAGGCAATTCGAGACGAGCATGGATCGGTTGTTGCCGAAGTACCAGTTTAGGGTTATGTTCTCCATGCTTACTACTAAAGCATAAGAATTTGGATGCACCTACGTACACATATACATATATAGACGCACATAAATAATGAGCTTCAATAACTATATATGCACCATAATAATGTAAAACATTGACAGAAATATTTGCTGTGTCAAAGGCAATAAATTAACCAGAGTTAAACATAAACAAAAGCATGCCTAAAATGAAATTACATAGTTTTTCCTCTTATTCTGAAACGATTCAGAGGGCATAATAAAAGAAAAAAATCACAAAAAAAGACTTTAAAAATTTTAAAAATTACGTATAGGAACCTATTCATAAAAACTGTTGTCATTTGCTTATCAATTATTGTCAAAAACTAATAATAATATTATAACGGATCCTTATTTTCAGTTTTTCTATTTCCAATGTCTTTTTTCTCGAGTTTCCCCATAATAAAATCACATATTTAAAGTGTTAATTTAAAAAAAAAATTTGATGTAAACGAATCTATATTTAAGAGCAACAAAACTCAGCTGCCAACGAAAATCTACTCTCCCAACGAAAATCTAGCATATATAAGACTCAGATCTACAAATTGAGGATCAGAACGAACCGTATCTTCATGTGGGTCACAAAGTAATGAATCAAAAAGTGGCTAGGAAGCCATTGGTGTACTAAATCAACTTGTTAGATCAATAAGAGAAGTAGAAGAAAGGAAAAAAGCAAACCTGCAAGAGGCGTTTGGCTAGGTCAATAGAGATAAGGCCGGCACTACATCCCATACCACCAAGGTTATAGCTTAGTATATTCCCTCTCAGCTTATAGTGATTGATGATCATGGCAGACAAAGACGGCGTCGGATTGAACAGACTACAATTCACGACCAAGATCCCAATATCCTTAGCCCTTACACCAGTTTTCTCCAAAAGTTGATCAATGGCTCCGAACATCACCTCCTCTGCTTCTTTCCTCGCTTCAGCCATACATGGGTTTGGTGGAACACTTAAAACTGCGGGTGGGAAGTAAGTCTTCTGTCCCAAACCAGACCTTTCTAGAATCTTCTTCTGAAACATCAAGTTCTCCTCTGTGAAGAATCCTGCTTGTCTAGATCTCTCCATGAACAACTCCTTTGTGCACATTCGAACTGGGTCTGGCTTGTAACACGCAAAATCCACCAAATAAACACCTCGTGGACGGCTCATGAAGTAAAAGGTGGCTAAGAACACT